GAAGAAAGGTATGGTAGTAAACAATAGCAATTAATGCAAACTGACGATGACAGAGTAGCCGGTGATCTAACTTTCTAGAGTCATAGAGGAAAGAATAAGATTTGGAACAGTCGGCAGTAGTTGGATTTCACTTGTGGTCTCCCTCCTAGGTGTTGTGACATTATTATCTGATTATGATGTATGTAAAGAAGGTGCCTCGCTGACTCCTGAACAAGCACGTCTTCTGGTTAGTCTTTACTTTCAATAATTAGCTTGCAGGAATTGAAGTCACTATGACTAGCTGGAACCTGCCATTAAGTTGCAAAACATATTTGCAAGTCAAAAGAATTGTCCAATTTTCAGCATTCAGATTAAAAAAAAACAAGTACGGGTGACATGGATACTGATTCCTACCTGTTCACTGTCTTTTCTGCAGAAACTGCTTGGTGTTGAAATGGCAACCTTCAAAGTGACAATAAACTGCATGTGGAACTCTGAGAATGGTGAATTTGAGCAACTGACAACTGATGGAAGGAACAAGCAAAAGGTGGAGGAAATGGAGGAGCAGGAGTGACTGAGTGCAAGTTGAAGAGCTCAGCCTGTGTACTTCAAAAGTGTCAATCTTCAATGACTAACGAACAATTTCACAGTCATTTGGGAGAACAACTGTTGCAAATGTGGACATTGAATTTAGTGAGCATTTTTAATAAAGTTTAGAACTTCAACAGATTTATTGGCTGGGTCTCACCTAGTGGTGCAAGAGGTGTGCAGTATTGCAGTTTTTTGGTATGTACTGACCTTTGAGGAACCTGTTAACATGACCATCCTAACATTACAGATAAAACCACCCTATTTATAGGTCCTTTCCAAGCTCTTAACAGCAAATGAATGTGTTTGTCTTTGAAATGTCACTTTTGTGACTATTGGGGAAGGCATGGTGTCACTGGACCTGTGCAGGGAATACAGTTACAATTGCTGTTAAACACAGCTGGACCACTTTACAGTTGACATTGTCTTCGGCCACAGCTGCAGCACTTAGGTTACCAACCTCTCTGAAGAATGGCAGTAAGCAATAGTAATTCATGCAAACTGGTGATAACAGTGGCCAGTGTTATTCACATCTTCTGTTGTTACAAATGAATGGTGAAAACTTGGAGCAGTAAGTGGTGCTCACTTTCAGTCTGTGTTCTGTCTGAGCTCTTCACAGCTAATGAATGGCTTTGAAATGTTAAGATTCTGGAAAGCAGTGGTGTAGCAAAAAAGGTATTGTTCAGAACCCCAGGCAAATGTTCTAGACACTGGTTCTGATTCCTATCAGTACTGTTGGTGACACTTGAACTCAAGCTGGCCTAATGGTGACCATGTAACCATTACTGATTGATGTAAAAAGAGTGTCTAGAGAGACCGTGTTTATTGGTCTGGCTAACTTTAGACCCACAATTTGGCTTCCTGTTAACTTTCTATGGGCATTTAGAGGTGGTGATAAATGCTGGTCTAGCATCGATAAATGCATCGTCTGCATCCCATAAATGCAGTTTTGTTTTTAGTAATGAGGGAGTCAATTTAGGAGTCACAAGATGCTAATAGCAGTTATGAGCTAAATGGCTCATGAGTTTTTTCAGAGTGAAGGGTGGGGGGGAGGGTTTGCTGAAGGATTGATATGAGCCAAAACATCTTACTCTTGTAAAACAAAATGCTAAAGGCCTTTTCTATCCATCCACAAGATTCTGGTTTGAGAGATGGTGGTCTCATGGTAATGTAACAAGATTTGTAGAGAGAATGCAAGGGAATACAAACCCTATTGTGAGAATTCAAGTTTAATGATTAAATTGAATAAAATGTTAATCTTAAAGCCACCAGATTGTTGTAACAAATGTGTATATAGTTCACTGATGCCCTACACGGGATGACATCTGCTATCCTTACCCAGTGTGTTGTAGATCTTGAATAACTAACAATGTGATTGACAATTAACTGCTCTATGTAATGGCATTGCGTACCTCTCCAGGAGTATCAAACTGCCATAAACCCTGGGTGTACCTAGCCCCATGAGTCAGGGGTTTAAAAAGTTAATCATCTTCAGGGGTAATTAGGAAGAATCAATAAATGCCTTTCCAGTGATGTTTGTATCATCAATAGCCACAGGTGAGGTGCTGGAAGACTGGAGGTTGGCTAATGCGGTGCCACTATTAAGAACGGTGGTAAGGAGAAGCCAGGGAACTACAAACTAGTGAGGCTGACATCGGTAGTGGGAAAGTTGTTGGAGGGAATCTTGACGGACAGGATTTACATGTATTTGGAAAGGCAAAGACTAGTCAGGGATAGCCAAGATGGCTTTGCACTTGGGAAATCATGTCTCACTAACTTGATTGAGTTTTTTTAAAGAAGTAACAAAGAGGATTGATGAGGGCGGAGTGGTGGATGTGATTTATCTGGACTTTAGTAAGGCATTCAACAATGTTTCTCACGGTAGAATAGTTAGCAAGGTTAGATCACATGGAATACAGAGAGAACCAGCCCTTTGGATACAAAACTGACTCAGATAGAAGACTGGGTGGTGGTGGTGGGGGATAGTTTTTCAGACTGGAGGCCTGTGACCAGTGTTGTGCTATAAAGATCAATGCTGTGTCCACTGTTTTTCATAATTTATATAAATTATTTGGAATGTGAACAAAGGAGGTACAGTTAGTAAGTTTGCAGATGACACCAAAATTGGCAGTGTCGTGGACAGTGAAGAAGGTTATCTTAGAGTAGAATGGTACATTGATCAGATGGGCCAATGGGCTGAGGAGTGGCAGATGGAATTTAATTTAGGTAACTGGGAGGTGCTGCATTTTGGTAAGACAAATCAGAGCAGGACTTGTACATTTTGTGGGAAGGTCCTGGAGAGCGTTGCTGAACAAAGAAACCTTGGAGTGCAGGTTCATAGTTCCTTGAAAGTAGAGTCACAGGTAGACAGAAGAGTGAAGGTGTTTGGTACGTTTGTCTTTATTGGTCAATGCATTGAGTATAGGAAGTGGCAGGTCATGTTGTGGCTGTACAGGGCATTGGTTAGGCCACTTTTGGAATACTGCGTGCAATTCTGGTCTCCGTTATAAGAAAGATGGTGTGAAACTTGAAAGGGTTCAGAAAAGATTTACAGGGATGTTGCCAGGGTTGGAGGGTTTGAGCTACCAGGAGAGGCTGAACAGGCTGGGGCTATTTTCCCTGGAGTGATAGCGGCTGAGGGGTGACCTGTATAGAAGTTTACAAAATCATGAGGGGCAATGAGTAAGGTGAACCGACAAGGACTTTTCCCCAGGGTGGGTGAGTCCAACACTAAAGGGCATAGTTTTAAGGTGAGAGGGGAAAGATTTAAAAGGGACCTAAGGGGCAACTTCTTCATGCAGAGGGTGGTGCACATATGGAATGAGCTGCCAGAGGAAGGGGTGGAGGCTGGTAAATTACAACATTAAAAAGGCATCTGGATGGGTATATGAATGGGAAGGGTTTAAAGTGATATAGGCCAAATGCTGATAAGTGGGTATAGATTTATTTAGGATACTTGTTTGGCATGAACGAGTTGGATCTAAAGGGTCTGTTTCCATGCTGTACTATGACTCTTAAGTACCAAAAATTTTTTTTTTTTTTAAATTTCAGGGATATCCCACCACACCCCCAATACTGCCCCTCTGACAATATTCTCTTTATCTGAATTGATAGTCTCAAGTTAGCATACTACCACTGAACATGTTAACATTCTGTAATATACTATTGTGTATTTGTCAACATCAGGCAGTACATTTGGTCACGCACCCAACCCTTCCCAAAAACAAGAGAAAAGTATCTTCCCTACACCATTGTAAACATGAACAAACGTATAACAAAAGTAATGGGAATCCATGGCTGTAAAATGACATCTTCGTTACTTCAGTTGATTCCTCCTATTTGTTATGCTATAAGTTATTTAGGCATTAACAAATAAATGACCAATTCATTGATTTTATTCACCATTGGAGACATTTGAAATAAACATAATTTAGTACTTTTTCTAACAGCTTTGATTCTAACAAGTGGTCATTGTTCAATTCAACAACATTTGTGGGATGAGTTACTGAAAATCCTCACGGTGTAATCTTGTCTCACAAGTGACTTTGTCCAGGGCTGGTCTTCTCTCAGGTTCCATATCACAGGACAGTTACCTTGACCACTTAGATCTGTTGTTACTTTCCCATTGCAACTCAGCAACTTTTCACAAGAATGCCAAGTAGCTGAGCTTGGTGAACATCAGTTACATTAATCATTTCATCCCTTTCTAAACAAATTTAATGGTAAGTGCTTTGAACTGGGTTCATCAAGAAATTTGTAAATATTAAGTGTTACTTTAGTGCTTCTATTTTTAAGGACCCCTCCTATCGAAAGTAATTTGGACAATCGTGCGCCACAAGATCCCAAGCTTCATTAAAGGCCTTGACCACAGCGGGGGCAAGTGGCCCTTCCTCTGAGGCAGCCAGGTTCATCTGAAGCTGTTCCATTGTTGACATTCCAATTATGACTCCGTCACCAAGATCCCCCTGGAGAAAACAAACATTAGCTATAGTAGTTGAACAATCCTGATAGAGAATTAGTAAGCTAGAGATTATTAAATGGAGGAAAATTGCACCAAGCCTCCTCATTCAATATCTGAATGAAAAGGTAATGAAATGAGCAAGATCGGTCCTCCCCACATAGTAAAACAGTTATCTTTGGACAGGCTGGGCCAAGTCATCACCTCAGACTGTAATTTGTAACAATAATATCTATGTTGCAGAATCTGTGCCATACCCGGAGTTTGGAGTGATGGTACATCCATCTTAATGCTGCTGCTGTCAAGCTTGGCTTCTCAGAACTGTATGATGTATCTATTGTTTTCTTCACTAAATCTAAAGCTCGGAAATGATGGTCCTTCCAATACCTGAGCAAATAAAGAATTTGCATTGAGACAGAATAGAAAATCAGTCAGAGGTAGGTGCCAAACAATCTTTGCTGCTACAGGACAGATACAGAATATGAAGACTAACAGCCATGGCCAGTTTGTAAACTCACCTGTTTCTGTAAGCCTCAGCCCAGTTGTTTCCAAAGAACCGGCCAACGGGCTGTTTCTCATTTTTGTCTTCAAATTTATATTTCCCGGTCAGTAACCCACCTGCACCAACAAGACAAACTTTATATTGTCTCCATTCCTCAGGATTCTACCCACAAACCCTACCATCCTGAGGTCTCTTCAATGCTGCTTATGATCTAGACTGTACAAAATTCAGTGTGGCATCTAGGATATTTTGTTAAATTTGGGAATAGACCCAGTTTCTTCCCTCCCTTGAAGATGTTGATCCTTATTCCTCCATATGATCATCCTACAGTGTGGGGTTGGAAGCAAATCAATATGGATCAGGTTTTCTCTGAGTCATGAGAGGCTCTGATTGTGGTGGTGATGATCTGACTCTGCATAGGGAACAGTGCGATTCAGCAATTGGACATCAAACAACTTGGAAACTTTTCTGAACGTCCACATGGTGTCACACGGCTGGATAATTCAAAATGAGTAATTTCATCTGTTTTGCTAAACTCGGATACTCATTTTATGTTTCATTTTCTTCTGAAATGATACTTACCCGCAAGCGGATTGTAGCCATAAAATCTCATCCCAAAATGTCGGAGACAAGGAAAGAGTTCTGTCTCCACTTGACGAGTTGTGGCATTGTACATTCCCTACAAAACAAACATAAAATTATTCCAAAGCAATTTGTCCATTTGTGGAAAACATACATCAAACAGAATGATAGGCATTCATTACAGCAAAAAATTCAAAGATATTTAGCTTTGTGACAAGCAACTGTATAGTATCTTCACAGCCAACAGATGTCTCAAAGTACTTTACAGTAGTCAAGTACTTTAAAAGTGTAGTCAACTTTGTAATGATCTTAATTGAAGTGAAAAGTTGACCGAAAGAGCAGAGACAAGTCCCAGCTCCTAAAACTAGTACCCAGGGATCAATTATGTCCACGTGACAGGGCAGACATGGCTCTGGTTTAACGTCTTATCTGAAAGGCAGCACCATGAAAGGAGAAAACAAGAAATTTTGCAGAAGCAAACTGTAATCCAAAAAAAAAACTCACTGTGCTCAGCAGTATGAGAACAGGTTGATCAAAGTGGACAGTTTTAAAGAAGGTCATAAAGGAGTTCAGAGAGAAGATTATGGTAGGATTGAGACCACTGGGATGCGTATGTCAAATATTGGAATAAAGCGAATGGTACAACAGGACAGACGTCTGTCAACGAAGGAGGAGCAGGTTCATGTCGCATGTTGGGATATGACGCAGACCGATCATTTTCCAGGATGAGAGATTAATTCACAGAGGCCATACCCTAGCCTCCGAAGGAATGTCCAAAGTTTGCAAATAACTACAAAAAAACTAAAATTTATATCATCTTTAAAATCATAAGTATTACAACAAATGGTTAATAGAGGAAAAATAGTAGGTTACAAAAAGATATGGATGGATTGGTCAGATGGGCACAACAGTAGCAAATGCAATTTAACCCTCCAAAGTGTGAGATGATGCGCTTTGGAAGAAGCAACAGGACAAGACAGTACTCAGTGATTGGCAGGACACCAGGAAGCTCAGTGGGACAAGAAAGTGCTTGTCCACAGATAGCTGGACAGGTTAATGGTGTAATTAAGAAAGTTTATAGCACACTCCCCTTTATCAGACATGTAGCATAAAACCAGGGAGATTATTTTGGAGCTGCACAAACTTTGGTCGGGTTACAGATTGACTACTGTATGTATTTCTGGTCACCACACGATAGGACGAACGTGATTGCACTGGAGGGATGCAGAGAAGATTCACCAGGATGTTTTCTGGGTCAGAGCATTTTAGCTATGAAGGCAGGCTGGATAGGGTCACGTTATTTTCTTTAGAGCAGAGAAGTCTGAAGGAACAACTGACTGAAGGGCATAAGATTATAAGGAGCATGGACAGGGTCGGGAGGAAGCTTCTATTCCCCTTAGTTGAAGGGTCATTAGCGAGGAAGCGTAATTTAAGGTGAAGGGCAGGAGGTTTAGACAGGATTTGAGGAAATATTTTCCACCAAGAGAGTAGTGGGATCCGGATGCATTGCCAAGGAGGGCACGAGAGACAGAAAACTTCACAACTTTTAAAACATACATGGATGAGCAGTTTAAATGTGACATTCAAGGCTATGGGCCAAGTCCTGGAAAGTGGGATTAGTGGAGATAGGTTGGTGCAGATTCAATGGGCCAAAGGGTCTCTTCTATGCTGTATCACTTAATGATATGTTTCAAATTACAAAATCTGACACTGAATCACATAAGGAGATATTAAAGCAGGTAGCCAAATGTTTGGACAAAGAGATAAGGATTAGGAAGCATCTTAAAGGCGGAAAGAGAGAGGCGAGGGAAGCTCAAAAAGCCAGAATTGGAGGAGCAACAAATATCCTTGTGAAAAAGAGGAGGAAAAGACACAAGAAATGTAAGGGCAAGGTTCTGGAATAGATTGTAAACAAGGATTGATAACTATTGAACCTTTCCTAAACTAAAAATCAATGTTGATTAGCAAGCATTGGTGCGTTGGGTAAACACAGTTCAGTGCAACTTAAGGCATTGGTAGCAGAGTTTTGGAGGACCTCAAGTTTACAGACAGTAGAGCATGGGAGGATGATTAGATTGTATTGTCATAGATTAAAAAGCAGTAATGCTGGCCTAACCATTGAAATCCACATCCTGTGATCAAATAACTAAATAAAGTAATATTCTAATTTATTCAGGCATAGAAGAGAAGACTCAGCTGGGTACAATAAAGGCAAAGCCCAGAATGAGATCCTCCAGCAGGTCAGATGTTGCCAATCTTGCTCTTTGACTTACCTGATAAATCGTGGGAAGGACCCATCTGTTATGTTTACAGATTGAACACACCTCTGCTACTTCCCATGAAGCATAGTTTGAGAGGCCAAGTTCTTTAAACTTCCCCTAAAACAAAATCCATGTTAAAACATTCTGACTTTCTGTAAGTTATTTCACAGCTGCAAGAACATCGAACACAAGCCAGATCATTATTCTGCAGTGAGGGCAGGATTTCTATTAAAGACATGCAAACTGAAAAACTGCTCAAAGCCTTTCTATGCAGCAAGTCACTCTGAAAGGCAGTAATATTTAAATATTTCTCTCAAGACCCAATGATGTCAATCTTTTACATGCCTTTGAAGAAGGAATGTTGGCCATGATACTAGCAGATATTTCTGATATATCCTGATGGGATCTTTAATAACCCCTGAGCAACTCACACAGAAGGATAGGACCTGTATTTAGCACCCCATCCTAACAGCTGTACTTCCAATAATTTTGTACTCACTTGGTACTGCATTGCTCAATGTACTATGGCAAGTGAGACTAGTCAAATAGTTATTTCATCAAGATGACAGACCTGATGAGCCAAATAGCTCCCATTCCCATTCCATACTCTAATATTCCTTGCCTGTTCCTCATGCCCACATGCTCAGTGTTGAACTCGAATATCCACATTGTACCTGTTGGTAAAGTTCCTGACAAGCAGCTAGTGTTTCTTCAATTGGAGTCTCGTGGTCTGGGGCATGAAGGTATAGGATCTCAACGCTCTCCCTTTGCAGGCGTTCCAATGATGTTTTGAACTGATTTCGGACACTGTCTGCTTTCAGTGTCCTCCCGTCCCATGGATTCACTTTTGTTGCAATCTTTACTTTAAGATACAGAAAGAAGCAAGAATCGGCAAAAAATCAAGGAAGAAAATGTTGAGTAAATTTGATAGATGTTCAAAATCACAAGGAGCCGAGACAGTGCAGCTAGAGATGGCCTGTATCCATAGGTGGAAGGATTGAGAATCAACGCACAGACTACCAAATGGACCAAAGTGACAGTCATGGAGTTAGACCGCATGGAAACAGACCCTTTGGTCCAACTTGTCTATGCTGACCAGACATCCTAAATTAATCTAGTCCAATTTACCAGCATTTGGCTCATATCCCTCTAAATCCTTCCTATTCATATACCCATCCAGATGCCTTTTAAATGTTGCAATGGTACCAGCCTCCACCACTTCTGGCAGCTCACTGCATACATGCACCACCGTCTGCGTCAAAAAGTTGCCACTTTCAAATCTTTCCCCTGTTACTTTAAACCTATGCCTCTAGTTTTGGACTCCCCTACCCTGAAAAAAAGACCTTGGCTATTTACCCTATCCGTGCCCCTCGTGATTTTACAAAACCTCTATGAGGCTATTTTCCCTGGAGCCTCCGATACTCCAGAGAAAATAATCCAGCCTATTCAGCCACTCCCCGCAGCTCAAATCTGCCAACTCAAGGAACATCGTTGTTAGTATTTTCTGAACCCTTTGAAGTTTAAAAACATCTTTCCTATATCAGAGAATATATAACAGGAGTATAAACAACTTTTATTCAGCGTGTGATCTGGATATAGCGGTGCTAAAAGAATGGCTTTCAAAAGAGAATTGGTTAAGCGCCTGACGGTAAATACGTGCGTGGCTATTTGGAAAGTCTGGATCAACTGGGGCTGTTGCAGACAACCAGCCAGAGTTGAACTGGCGACAACAGTGTGGAGCTGGAGGAACACAGCAGGCCAGGCAGCATCAGAAGAGCCGGAAAGTTAGGACCCTTCTTCAGAAACGGGGGAGGGGGAAGGGAGCTCAGAAATAAATAGAGGAGGAGTGGGACTGGGAAGGCAGGTGGGATGGTGATAGACGGTATGTCCTCCTTTTGTTCTCTAACCATTCTTTGAAAAGGAAGCTCTGAAATCCTGCTTCATTAACAAAGACCCTCAAACTCGACGAGCTGAATAACCTGCTTCTGCTCTTAAGTCTTAGTTGGGGCTGAGATAAGCAGATTTTCTTTACGCCCTAAGAGAATGCAGAGAAAAGGAGAGTGGGTGGAATAACGGCTATAACCATCTGGGATAGCTGCAGCCTCGATAGGGCCGAACGGTTTACGCCTGGTCTTCACCTTTCTGTCCGAGGCCCATCGAACCAATGATCTCTTCCGAGTGCCCGTCCGCGTACATGAACGCGCTGTCCAGCTCATCGTGCCCATGCTCCATGAACGCGCACACCATTGCCGCGCTTTGCTTGGGATCCACGCGTCGCCCAAACTCCATGGTTCCCAGAACGGTTCTGGGCCGCATCTCGGCAGAACATGTGGACATGGTGCAGGAAGCCAAATGACACCACCGTACCGCAGGCCGTAAAGTGAAAATAATACTCAACATGGCCGCACTGAGGAGGGCGTGGCCAGGCAAAGTCCAAAAGATATCCAACAAACGGAGAAGCACATGATTGGACGGAGCGATATTAACCCCGCCCCCTTGGGAACTGCAAACAACGTCACTGAAGCCCACCCACAATATAACCAACACTTAGGTTCTCCAGGACTTTGGCCCAGGTTTTTCGTAGAAGTACAATTTCCTTACACCACCAAAAGAAAGGGTAAATAACATATGTAGGGTTTTTTAAAAATGCCTGTTAATGGATTTCACTGTTAACGATTTAGTTCTTTATGTAAAGATTTTATTTCCAGCATTTTTAAAAGTACAACAAAAACACAAACCTCAAGCATTTATTTAAAATATTCTTTCATCTAGCAATTCTTCCAGGACCACCATACAAAGTAAGGTTTCAGCTCTCTCCTGGTCACTGTTCCCTCCTATTTGGTGCTGGCTGTAGCCTTTCCCACAACTGACCAATTCCTTATTGTGGAAACTGGTAGTTAATTCTGGGAGGGGGTGCAGAATCTAGTCATTTTTGTGCCTTTTACAGTGTTGTATGAATGCTCTCTAGTCTATTCAGAAAAAGTTACATTGTTAAAACAACACCTAATCATGCAGGAGATAGCTCTTTCAAACCCAGGCCTGGAACCAGAAATTTACACAAAATTTCATTTTCTCAATTAATGCAGCACAACACAATGTCAAAGTACAAGCTATGACTACTGTATAAAAGGGTTAACACCCTTAGGTACAAATTCAGGACTTGGTCCCTGATAACGTTTCACACTTAACGAATTTTGGAAGTTCTCTTCCACTCCAAAAGTCAGCTCAGTAATGAAATATAGCCAATGTATTGGATTCTCTCCTTCACTTTGTACGTCAGATCATCTAGACTCCATGACATCAGGATGTTTTCTGAGCTCTCTCTTCAACGTACAACTGCATCTATAAAAGAGTAAAAATAAATTAATGCAACTCCAAAAGTGAGGCCATAGTACTACACATATAGTTTACTGCAGCATTGCCAACTACATCAGAGAGTCAGTCAGATAGCACAGAAACAGGTTCAATCAGTCTATGCCAACCATAATCACAAACTAAACTAGTCCTGCCTGCTTGCACTTGGCCCATATCCCTCCAAACAATTTAAAAGAGATACTGTCATCACACTCCTCAGGCATAATCCAGGAAGCAGCAGTTACAGAAATCTAGGTTATCACTGTAGTCTCAACCATATTACAGACCAATGGTTCAAACATTCTGAGAAAATTAGTTAGATGATGCTCGTGGCCTCCATTGCCACCCCAAGTTATCATCTAATTCATTCTTCTGGTCAAGAAATCTTTCTGCTAATATCTGATGAGCTTATAATCAAAGGTCATGAGCTACTATTGCATGAATCACACAGAGAACATACGGCATGCCTTGTGAGAAATGTAATGATTACCTTTAAAATATCTGATGTCATAGTTTTTAGCGGGATTAGCCGTGGCTCTCGCATGTTCACCTCCTGTTCATCAGCATGGATCCATGGGAAGTCCTATACCAGGAACAAGCAAACAAACAAGAAAGCTGAAACATAATCTTAATGGGTGTTTGTGATGCATTTGTTCTTGGGTTTGGGCAGTTTATCATTATTCTGGATGTCCAAAGACAGCAGTCAGTGATGGTGGATCTTGAACTGCTGTAGTCAATTATTGTGCTGGTGTTGCTAGAATATGCTGGTTGGAAAACTCCAGGGTACTTATTCACTGATAATATAAGAATGATGATTATATGCTGTGGTTGGTTCGCTCGCTGAGTTGGTTCATTAGTTTGCAGATGTTTCATTACCCTGCTGGGTAACATCATCAGTGCAGCCTCTGATGAAGCGCTGTTGTGTTTTCCCACCTGATATTTAAACTCTGGGGTCCGTTGGAATTGGTTACCTCATTTCCGGTTTTTCTTCACAGTGGTGTATATATAGGGTCTATCTACGTCTACATGTTTATTGATGGCCTTCTTGGTGGAGAACCAAGCCTCTAGAAATTCCCATGCTTGTCTCTGTTTGGCCTATCTTAGGATCATGACGTTGTCCCAATTGAACTGGTGGTTCTCCTTATCCGTGTGAATGGAGACGAGTGAATACTGGTCATGTCTATTTGTTGCTAGTTGGTGTTCATGTATTCTTGTGGCCAGTTTCCTTTCTGTCTGTCCAATGTAATGTTTGTCACAGTCCTTGCATGGGATCTTATATATCACATTGGTTCTGTCCATATTGGGTGAGGGATCTTTGGTTCGAGTTAGCAGTTGGCGTAGGGTTGACGTAGGTTTGTGTGCCACTCTGACACCCAATGGTCATAGGGGTCTTGTGGTCAGTTCGGATATGTTCCAAGATATGACCAAGAAGGCCATCAATAAACACGTAGAATTAGACCCTATATATACACCACTGCGAAGAAAAACCGGAAATGAGGTAACCGATTCCAATGGGCCCCAGAGTTTAAATACCAGGCAGGAAAACACAACAACACTTAATCAGAGGCTGCACTGATGATGTTACCCAGCATCAAACTAACGAACCAGCTCGGCAAACGAACGAACCAGGCAAACGAATCAACCACAGCATCCACAATCCGAGCTACAAATCTTTTCAAGACCTTTAAACGATGATATATATCAAAGCTAAGATAGTGAGTGACTTGAGGGGAATTTGCAGGTGACACTGTTCCACATGATGTTGCTGCTTTTCGTATTTTAATGTAGATCAGAGGACTGGGTGCAGCATTTCCAGGTCAGGGTTTGAAATAGTTATCTCCTACACAATTAGGCATTGTTTTAACAATGTAATTTTTTTTCTGAATAGATTGAAGAGCATTGATACACTGTACAAAGGCACTGTACAGAGGTTTCTTTAATTTCTTCAGAGGACATCAGCTTTGCTGGCTAGGCAGCATTTATTGCCAATCCCCAGTTTCACTACAAAAGGTATGGAAAGCTGTCTTCTTGAAATACTGCAGTCAATGTGCTGTTAAGTAGACCCACTATATTTAAGAAGAGTTCCAAAATTTTCACCATATGACAGTGAAGCAACAACAATAATACTGATCCAAGTCAGAGTGGCATCGACCTTGGAGAGGGACTTACAGGTTAGTGTTCTCGTTAATGACTGCAAAATTCTGAGCCTCTGACTGACTCCTGTATGGCTGATCCTGCCAATTTCTGGACAATGATAACCTCAGGATGCTGGGAGTTGAAACAAGCTTAACACAGATGGGATAGAGGGTGAATATTGAATTCAGTTGATAGCGCTTTGTAGCAGCCTCCTGGCTGATAAAACACAGATAGATTGTAACTTGGCCAAATAGCAAGGGATGCTGGGTGCACTGGCCAAATAAAACGCTGAAATCACAAAACCCACACACCAGACACAGTGCAAACACAGCAGTCAGGTGCTAATGATATTAGCTTAATGTAAAAGCCAACAGTTATTCTGGACAGACATACCCCAACAACATATCCACCAATCAAAGGAGAGCCCAGAAAGAAAGGCACCGGGACGTTCTACACAAAGAAACTAGCAGGAGCATGCCATCTAAATGATTGACTTTTGTTTCAAATTATTAAGATTATCTCCCTGATTGGCCAGAACTATAGAAAGTTCCAGAAGATCATCTAAAAGGTACAAAAACAGGGTTCACCTGCAGACCTCACTCTTGGAGTCTAGGAGCAAATTACTGCAGATGCTGGAATCAGTACTGAAGACAACAAATGTTGGAGATCACAGCGGGTCAGACAGCATCCATGGAAAGAGCAAGCTAACATTTCGAGGCTAGATGACTCTTCATCAGAGTCTTCTGAAGAAGAGTCATCCAGACTCGAAACGTTAGCTCGCTCTCCGTCCATGGATGCTGTCTGACCCACTGTGATCTCCGGCATTTGCCGTTTTCAGTCACTCTTGGAATCGTCTGAGGCCTTCCGAGGAGAACAGTATAGCGAGAGGCAGAGACCAGCTGACCATCCAGAGGGAGAGAGGAACAAAGCAGCTTCGCAGACCCAGAGACAGAGCCACAGACAGCAACTGCATAAATTTACAAGAGACTTGCAAAGTATTGTAACCTTAAGAGGCCAAGTGGGATTAGAGATAATATGTTTAGTATTAAAGATTATTGTAATTTGTTCCTAATCAAGTGGGACTGTTTTGCATTGGTACCAGCTTGTGTTCGTATTGATTTGACCGCTTCTGTATTATGGGACACCTGGGCAAATTAGTTCATAATATTCTGGTCGGAGTGGTCTAAATAGTTTTAAGGAGACATCAGACAACAGTTTGCTGACAGTTCCTGCATCAACCCCATTCAAGAGTGGAGAAACTTCCAAAACAATCCTTACTTGCAATATGTGGATGACAGGGACCAAGAGTTGTATCATTTGCCCTGGTCACAATGATAATAACCAATTCAGTTACGCATATGAACAGTAGTGATGCTCAAAGGAGGTGTTTATGGAGCTACTGCTTCCCCGGATTTATACAAGTGCCCACCGTCATACTCAACATAATGTGAAGTGTCTACAGAACCCTGCTCTGATCCAGTGACCAGAGAAAGTGTGAACTATCTATAACCAAGTGCTTCTGAGACTTGGCACATTGAAAAATAACTCACTGCTAGACTATAGTCTAATGTGCCAGAGGATTGTGTTTTGCAGTCATTTCTGTTTGCAATGATTTAGATGTGGTTTTCAAGTCAGTGGTGTCAAAATAGTAGGTGATACCAAAATAGAAGGAGCAATTAATTCTTTAAATTTAAAGGAAATTACAAAAGAATATTGGCGAGATAGTAGAACGGGCTAACACAAAGCAGAGAGAACTCAACTTCAGTATATGTAAAAGTGAAGTATTCTGGGAATCAAATAACTGTTTAAATCACATCCAGTTTCATGACAGAGTGCAAGAAAAATTGGTGATTGATAAAATTTGGGATTTAGATCTCAGGTTGATTCAGAGTGAGCAAGTGGATTGAAGGGGAAGGAACAGTTTATCAAAGGATAGAATGGAGAGCTAGGGAAGAGTCTGGTTCCATTCTTCTCAGTTCGGTATCAGTAAATTCTAGCTCATCCAGATAATACAGCACAGAGGTAACCATGATCTTGACAGAGATGATGGACAAGGTTGAACTGATGTCATCAACATAAAAATGGAAACTAATTTCATGTCTATGGATTTTGCTGAGAAGAATAGAATTAAGAATTGATCATAGAGGAAACTCTGAAAGCAACTGTGTAGGAACAGCAAGAGAAACCATTATTGGATATGTATTGGTGGCATTTACACAGATAGGGTATTAGCCTTCAAGGACAGAAACAACAAAAGATGATGATAAGGCCATCTGTGTCAAACACCATATGAAATCATGTAAACAATCATAGAAGATCAACATGGAACAGGTTTTTATTTCAAGGAGTGGACGATACCAGGAGTTTTGAAATGGGGTGTAATACCAACTATTTTTTAAATTGTAGAATGGGACAAGGGTGTCACTAGCATAGCCAATATTTGTTGCCCATCTCTACTCGCCCTTCAACTAAGTGACTTGCTAGGCCGTTCAGACAATAGTTAACAGTCAATTGCTGTGGATCTGGAGTCACGTGTCACATGTGAGTACAAGAGAAAATTGAGTGCTGAGTGGCATTGCTGCTTTCACACAATCTCTCCATCAATGTAAGCAAAATGAAGTAGCTAGTTATTGACTTCAAGAAGTGGAATGGAGGACACACCTCTGTCTGCATCAATTGTGCTGAGGCGGCGATGGTTGAGAGTGTCAAGTTTGTGGGAGCGATGATCACCAACACCTGGGTCCACCCACGTCAACACAAAGGTCAAAGATGCACAACAATGCCTCTACTTCTCAGGAGTCTAAGGAAATTCAGCATGCCCACAAAAACCTATATCACTTTTCACAGATAGAATGCTTTCTGCAGTGCATCTGGATTCATCGCAGTGTGGTATGGCAACTACTCTTCCCAAGACCGCAAGAAACTACAGAGAGTCATGAACGCAACCTAGTCCATCATGCAAACCAGCCTTCCATCCATTGACTCCATCTATACTTCCTGCTGCCCAAGGAAAACAACCAACATAATCAAAGACCCCTCCCACCCCGCGTATACTCTCTTCCATCCTCTTCAGTCAGGCAGAAGACATACAAGTTTGAATATACATACAAACAGTTCAAAAAAGCTTCCTTCCCATTGTTAACTGACATTTCATCAGACCTCTCAAATGTTAATGTTGATCTCTGTCTCTGCACCTTCTCTGTGGCTGTAACGCTGTATTCTGCACTCTGTTCTGCCACCCTTTTGCACTTTGTATGGTACAATCTGCCCGTATAGCATGCAAAACAACACTGTTTTCACTGTTTCTCAGTACCTGTGACAACAATAAATCAAACTCAAACAGGTAGGTCAGAACAGGTAAGGACATTCCTTTTCCTAAAGGACGTTAATGAACCAGATGGGTTTTTACAACAATCATTCTACTACCATTTGACTAGCTTTTAAATTCCAGAATTTATGGAATTAAAACCCTTGTTCTCCAAACATTAGCCTGAGCCTCTGGTGACACTACCACAATGCTACCATCTCTGAAAAAAGGGAGCCATTGATAACATAAACAGACATTGACCTGGAAATAGAATCGTCCCCACTAGAAACATGCATCATATTAATGTTCACAATTAACACATTGCACACCAAAGATTCTATTCCATTGCAGAGTCCAGATATAATGCTCACCTTTATCACTTGAATTTTCTCCATGTTTCGTGTGGCAACATCTCGGGTATGGACCAATACAGTGAAGGTACAGCCTAGAAATAAACAACGCAATTCTCATAAATACAAACATAGGAGATAAGACTCTGGAAGAATTTATTTCAGTTTCAGCATTAGAAAATTCCAAAACAATAATAAAACAGTTATGCCACTTCAATAGCATAGCAAATTAATCTATAGAGTCATGCAAATCAATGAGGTGCCAGGCTGAATTCCCAGTTCCCCACTCTGAGGAAGGGTCACCGGACCCGAAACGTTAACTCTGACTTTTTCTTCACAGATGTTGCCAGACCTGCGGAGCTTTTCCAGCAACTTCTGTTTTTGTTCCTGAGTTCCCAGTCTGTTACCTTCAGAAGGAGAAGTGAAAAAAAAGGTAGAGAAAAGAAAAATCGCTGTTCTAGCAAAATGTAGACAGAAGCTTCTTACTCCCTCAGTCAGATTACACCAGGTCAGTCTTTTCCCCTGGGTGTTTAGCCAAAATAAGCAAAATTCATAGCTTGGTAAAACAATGGGTGAAAAATTAATAGCTTGTACAACAGGACCGTGTGTTACTGCCACCAAGCCACAGGCTCACCTGGCGGGTTGCTATCAAGAATTGCATCACAGACACTGATTTTCAGGATCGACGCTCGAAGCAGCTGCTCGACACGGGAAAGCAGTGTGTCAGAGCTGTAAAACAGCAAGGATACAGAATAAATGTCACAGGAAAATTCAATCAATTAAAAATATGCTTGGTACAAGTGTCCTTAACTTCTCTTTCCTCCCTTTTACATCATATTTCTTCTGAACGTACTGAATCTTCTGCGCATTGCTGAATTGGCCTTAAGTACTCTCTGGTAGTTAGCCATCAAACATGAGCCTCAAGAGTTTATTTGACTGTAAGAAAAACACAGCCATGTGTGATCCTGGCCTCACATGTAACATTCTAGGAACTTTAGAGAAAATACCAACACAGATTCCAAGGTGTTTCTACTCCCAAATGGCTGACTTTGCTCTTCATTACTTACTAATATTTTTGCAGACAGCCCTGAGCCAGTCAGTCTTCAGCTCATGTATTCACATAATCAGTTAGTGCTTCCCTAAGTTTGCCAAACTCCTCCATGAATCAGAAATGGGGCTATAAATCTCTGGGAGAATGGCAGAGGGGGAAAATCATTTCTGTCACAATGAAAGTAGTACAAGAAAATTGGCAGTGCTGAAAATATCTCACCTGACAGACAAGAGAGGAGGTTGTGAAATCTCAAAGACAAAGCGCTCTACAGGATGATGCTCTTTATCCAGGATCACTACCACCATCCGATCCACCTCATTCTAAACAGGAGAAAAGATCACAGGTCAGTTCACAGGCAGCTCACCACCCAAATATTAACGAATAGACGTGAACAAAGAGTGGCCACAAACCAAAAGCAGTTAGAAGAAATCAATGCTTTATTGGAATGCAGAGATTTTTATAAATCTAGTTGTTCTCAAGAGTTGAGTGGACACTGTTGTATTTATTGTCTCCTTCTTGATCCTCAGCGCAGTTGTTAGTCCTATAATGGTATTAGGAAGGAAGTTTTCAAGATTTTAATCCAGTTACAATAATGGACCAATAAATTGCCAAGTCCAAATGGTGTACTTTGAAGGGAACTTGAAGGTAATGGTGTCCCAACAACATTTAGTCAGGTAGTAGGGAGGAGTGCTGTTAAGGAAATCTTGAAGAATTGCCACAGTTCATCATTTTGGAATAGATCATCATAAAGTAGTAGGGTCATCAAGCAGGTTACTGAGTCATGAATGCTGTCAAACCAAGCGTTCTAGAGACTGCACCTCTCAGGGTAGATAGTAAATGTTCTATCATACTCATGACTTTTGCTTTATATAGGCTTTGAGAAGTCAGAAACTTAGTAATTCAGCACAGAATTCCTAACCAACTCTTACAACTTTCCTTCCTAAAGCACATTACCAAATACATTAATAAATGGACAAAAAAACAGATAAAAAGCCCTCTCTGCCATACAAACATTTGGGACAGATATAAAAAGTCAACATACAGATAGCACCAAATCAGAAACAGCTATTGTACACATTCTACTATAAGTACCCATCCACTTTCAGAGAGTATGCAGTGAGGACAAGGGAAGATAATTGGAACAAAACTAACTCAATGAAAAGCAGCTATACACAATTACAGAGCAGACAATTAAAATTCTTCCCAACCTTCTCAATCAGAGGCTTGATACAATGCAATGTGTCCTGGATGTACTGGTTAAGCTCGGGGTGGCATGACATCTAGGTAAACAGAGCAAATGGTATACAAAGAATCATTCAGAAATTCTTTTTTTGAAGCCAATAAATCACAATTACAGCTCCATATTAAATAGACTCAAATGATGCACCCAAGTTGTAAGGAGTGACAAATTTCACAGGATAAGCTATCTTAGTTGAAATTGTCTTCTGCAGTGTAGCAACAAGCTGGAAGCTCATCAGTTGACTCACCTGGACAGGTACATTGTACTTTTTCCTTTTCTGAAATATTCCAACTGGATAAACCTCACGTACGTACAGGATCATATGAATAGCCACTTCCAAAAATTCACACAGTACATCTGCAACAACTGAACAGAGAGGCAGTGCAAAGATAAGACCTGTTGCACATTAGAATACAAGGACATTGCAGCACAGCCTATGGACAGCACAGTGCACGGTTGTATATCAGTTGAACATAGAGATAGGGAACAGAGTTGAGGTTGTTGACTTGCTCACCGAGCTGGATTGTTTTTGTTCAGACGTTTTGTCACCATGTTAGGTGACATCATCAGTGGAGCCTCCGATGAAGCGATGTTATTCTACTCTATTCTATTCTAACTTAAGTAACCATAGTAGCCCAAGCCAAACATAGACACACACGGGAATTCCTAGAGGCATGGTTCTCCGCCCATACTTCAATCAACAAACATATCGAATTGGACCCCATATACAAACCAATACAGATCAAAACCAGAAATGACAGTACTCACCATAACGGACCGGACAGTATAAATACCAAGCAGAGTAGAATAACATCACTTCATCGGAGGATCCACTGATGATGTCACCTAGCATGGTGACGAAACATCTGAACAAAAACAAGCCAGCTCAGCGAGCAAGTCAACAACCTTATCCACAACCCAGGCTACAGATCTTTGCCAATACTTTAAGGGAACAGAGTTGTTAAAAAGAGATGCCACAGGGCCTACTACAATAAAGTATTGTACAGTCCTCAGTATCTTTGTACAGGATACAAAACAAACTCTGAGTATACTCATTCCTCATCACCAATTAATTCCATCTGAAAGTGCATATGACATCAGTTGAACAGAGGATCAGGTTCAGTTATGATGATCTCCACTGCCCAACAACCATTTGGACAAGCCGTAGCCAACCATGCAACTATCTCCCAAATTGTCAACAGGTTAGAAGGAAATGGGAGTTAATTGACAATAAACTAGATGGTTGTGTTACAATTTCATGCAACATATTACTGACAGTGAGAATATCAAAGACTGCACCTTGTCCAAAATTGAGGTCCTGTCGTGTGAGGGTGGTCATGTTTACAAATACCTGTCAGATAAAAAAAAACAATTACAGTTAATCCAGAGAGCTGTGTCACACTTTCAGATGAACAATATGTAACAAATTCTCCAAAGCCTTTAACAAACAAGATTAGAGATAACAAGGTGTAGAGCTGGATGAACACAGCAGGCCAAGCAGCATTAGAGGAGTAGGAAGGCTGACGTTTCAGGCCTAGACCCTTCAGAAATGGCTTTACACCTTGTTATCTCAGATTCTCCAGCATCTGCAGTGCCTACTATCTCTGAAACAAACAAGATTATCTTTTTTTAAAAAAAATTGACACTAAGCCACACAAGATTCAAAGTTATGTGGACAAAACCTTAGTCAAGAAGAGTTTTCAGGGAGCATTATAAAGGAGGCGAGAGCGAGATTTTTCCTCCCTGCCTCAGCACGTTCCCCTTTGGAATATTTATAACGATTTTTATTGATAATTCCACTGATTGAGGACTTCGAATGTTATTTCAGTGCAAATCCAGTTCTCTATGTAATTATGGTGCCTCACGTCTTGGTCCAAGGCGATACAGCCCTATAAATCGGACCAGTTTTGTTCTGTGGTCAGAATAAGACAAGTACAACAGAGGGGATGATAACAACAGAAGAGTGGCGCTATTCAGTGTAAATTAAACTTGGAAATATTCATGAGAACGGAGGCGGGAGGCGGGAGACGGCAGTACTGCGGGGACAAAACCTCAACCGGACACCCAGGCCGGGGAACTGCACATTGGATTCCTTACCCCGGCCTGTTCCGAGTACAAAATCGACTGCTGATCGTCGCTCAACACCGTTAGCTGCTGACTACACATTGGATTAGTTCTGCCGACACCCTCATTGTTGCGGGATGCCCCCGCCCCCTAAACCGGATCCTTCCGGGGACCGTCGGGCTTGACCTTGCCCTGCAACGTCGTGCGCCGTGACGTCATCGGCCTGCGCACCTAGCACGCGCCAAAGCACGAGCTTCAGTTTGAACCCAACTGTTTGGAGCGAGATTGAGCGGTCGTCGTCCGTTCATCCTCCGACCTCAACTTTCATATCCATCCACTATTTTCACCATCACCCTCCATCTTCACTTTTACGCCCTCACCTTCATCCTTCCACCTTCACCATCTCTAAATTCTCAATTTTCACCATCATCTTTACACCCTCCATCCTCACCCTTTACCTTCGTTTACCGTATTCACCTTTACACCCTCCACCTTCACATCCTTCGCAATTACCAACCACTTTTATCATCTTTCTTACATGCCCCACCCACAGAACTGCATTGTCACCCTGACACCTTGCCTTGTACTTTTAGCATCTGCTTTCCCTCTGACACATTCACTTCACCCCTACCTTATAGCCCCTCACCTCATTCCGTTCACCTTCCTATCTTCCTTCACCACACACCCTCCATTCTCACATATTTAACTCCGACCCTCACTTTCATCTCACCCCTGCACTCTCATATACTCACTTCATTCTCACCTCCATGGCTATTTAAACCCCACACTCATCTTAACTACATCAGTATGGGTCTGGAGTCAAATGTAGGTAGGCCAGACTGGGTATAAATTGCAGGTTTTCCTTCCTCAAAAAGCAGAATGAACTACATTTGTTTTACTGACAATTCCTAGTTGCCATTGAACTAGCTTTTTAAATTCAAGATTTATTAATTAAATCCAAATTTCATCATTCATGTTCCCAGAGCATTAGCTTTGGTCCCTGGAATGCTAGTCTTGTGATAATGCTAATACTCCATCAATTCTTCCTTTTTACATTAGTAACAGAAACAACATATCATTGGCTTTCTAATTGCAAGTTCTGTTTCACTTCTTCCCCAACCAGCAAGATCATTATTTGTAAGTTCATACATTTCTCACGAATAAAACAATGGATATGAAAAAATTTTTATTTACATTGTGAGTTGTTGTGATCTGAAAAGGGGAATAGAAGCAGATTCATTTGTGGTATTAAAGAGTTGGGTAAATACTTGAGGGGAAAATATTCCCAGGTAGGAAGAAAGAACAGGAGAATGAGACCAGGAAACAGTAAGGAGTGCAGATGCTAAAAGCCAGAATCAATAAACATGGAGCTGGACAAACAGCACGTCAGACAGCATCAGAAGAGCAGGAAAGTCAACATTTTGGGCCAAACCCCTTCATCAGGACTGGGGAGGGGGAGGGGGAGTGGAGCCCAGTAATAGAGGGGTGGGGCTGGGGAAAGGTAGGTGGGATGGTGATAGGTGGATGCAGGTAATGGGTTATAGTGATTGGTCAGTGGGAAGGGTGGAGTGGATAGGTGGGTAGGAAGATGGAGAGTTCAGGGATGTGGGACATGGGATAAGGCTGGGGGTGGAAGGATTTTCAAGCTAGTGAAGTCAATCTTCAGGCCCTTGGGCTATAAGCTCCCAAGGCAAAGTATCAGGTGTTGTTCCTCCAGTTTACACTTGGCCTCATTCTGAAAGTGGAGGAGCCCAAGGATGAACATGTTGCCAGGGGAGTTGGAGGGGGAATTAAAATGGTTAGCAAGCAGAAGGTTGGGTTGGTTGATGCACACAGAGCACAGATGCTCGGCGAACCAGTCCCCTAGTCTGCGTTTGGTCTGCTCAATATAAAGGAGACCACATTGGGAGCAATGAATACAATAAATCAGGTTGGATGAGGTACAGGTGAATCTCTGCCAGACCTGGAAGGATTGTTTGGGGCTTTGGACAGAAGTAAGAAGAGAGGTGTGGGAGCAGTTGTTGCACCTCTTGCGATTCCAAGGTACTGGGTGTGGTGGAGAGCGATTCCAAGGTACTGGGTGTGGTGGAGAGGTTGGTGGGGAGTGTAGAGCTGACAAGGGACTTGCAAAGTAAATGGTCCTTGCAGAACGCAGACAGGTGGTGAAGAAAATATCTTTCTAGTGGTGGGGTCTGATTGTAGGTGGTGGAAATGTTGGAGGATGATGTGTTGGATTAGGAGATTGGTGGGGTGGTACTAATTGGTTAGTTCTGTCAAAGAGATGGCCAAAGTATAATAGGCTGAATGGCCTCCTTCTGTGCTGATTGTTCTGAGATTCCATGATTCACAGATTGGCTACGAAACAGAAAACTGTTTTCCTATTTTCCTATAAATATTTAAGATTCAGAAAGAGATTGCTGGAGTTACTGTAGATAACCTACTTGTAGGAGAGACTAAAACTACGGATCATGAATATCAAATATTCACCAATAAATCCACCAATCAACGCAGAAGAAAGTTATTCACTCACAGAGCGGTAAGAACATGAAACTTCTTGGTGAAGGGAATAGGATAGATGCACTTAAAGGGAAGCTTAAAGAAAACATATGGAGGAAGAGGAAGAGGGAATATGATGATATGGTAAAATGAAGAGAGGAAGATGAATATTTGTGTGAACTATAAACATGGGTATGGCTCCACTATGTCTAATGCCTTATTCCTGTAGCTGTATATTTATATCTATAAATACCTAATTAGAATCACTACTGTCTGCTTTGCTGTTTCCTTGATCATAAACGCACCAGATTCGTCTGATGTCCCAAAAATGATCTGACCTTCTCTGCATTAAAGAATGGCTATCGTCTGTCCGTTTTTGTATACTATTTTCTCGCCTTTATCGTATTTAATTCCCTTAATTTCTGTGTCATACAAATTTATATTAAAATTGCAGCCTGTTCTTTCACTTGATAACCATGTTAGTTCTATTCTTGTAATCCAATCTTCCTGTCTTGTTGATTTGATTTGATTTGAATTATTGTCACATGTGCCTGAGTACAGTGAAAACCTTTATTTACAAGCAGTACAGGCAGATCATAGCAAGAAAGGACATACAGATCATAGGGTAAAAAAAACTTGGAAAGAGGCATACAGGTTACATGTGAGCAATAGAAAGATCAACATTAGCAAGATCAGCATTACTTGAAGTTGGAGAGTTCTGTTCCATTTAAAGTTTCACTACCCAGTTACCCATCCTCAATTAAACATCTTAATTGCTGTGATTTCAATGACTTTCAGTCAGTAGTCTCTATATACTTGTAACTAAGTGATTTTTTTTTCTCTCCTGGGATCTTTTTAGCTGCTCAATTTGAATTTTAAGATTATGTCGGCTTGTTCTGAATTTTCTTACTTGAAGGAAAAGTCATCCTTGTCTATAAAATTGTCCCTCAGATATTTTAAACATGGACTAACAATCCTTCAATCTCCTTATCCTCATAAACTATAAACCAACTATCCCTCCATGACTTCCATTGTTGTAGTGTTTTCTTGTTTTTTTCACCTCCTAATTGAAGCCAGGATCTCATTAACATTTTTTATTAATTTGACTACCCAGATCTCTGAATTCCTATGTTAATGCATATGCAATTTTACACTTTGTTACACTAAACTGCAACTGCCACTGATTGTTCACTCCTAGTCTATCAATCTCTCAATCATCTTTCCACCATTCTCCCTTTTTCCAGATTAGTTTCTTGGATTTGTTCCTGTTTTCATTCCTAAAACATGCCAAAGATATATTTCTCGCAGGATTACCTGGGAAACACCGTTTGTGATGGCCACAAATGTTAGAATAACATTTTGCTTCCTATATTCCTTGTTTTCTATCCACATCATGATGCTGCCACCAATTTCATTACCTCGGCTGAGCAGGACCATACCTCATCACATGTACCCAACATTCACTCATCTACTGGAAACAGTAAGCACTGCAGATGTTGGAAGCTAGAGTCTATAAATGTGGAGCTAGAACAGCACAGCAGATCAGACAGCTTCCGAAGAGCAGGGAAGTCAATGTTTTGGGCCAAGACCCTTCATCAGGACTGGGGAAGGGGAGGGAAGCCCAGAAATATATAGAGGGAGGGGGTGATGCTGGAGGGGAGGGTAGGTGGGATAGAGATAGGTGGGTACAGGTTATTGTGGTTAGTCAGTGGGAAGGATAAAGCGGATAGGTGAGTAGGAAGATGGACAGGTAGGGGTGGAGAGATTTTGAAGCTGGTGAAATCAATATTCAGGCCCTTGGGCTGTAAGCTCCTATGGTGAAATATCTGGTGTTGTTCCTCCAGTGTACATTTGGCCTCATTCTTGCAGTGGATGAGGCCAAGAATAGACATGTCACCAGGGGACTAGGAAGGGGAGTTAAAGTAGATGGCAACCGGAATGTTGGGTTGGTTGGTGCATGCAGAGTGCAGGTGCTCCGTGAACTGGTCCCTGAGTCTGCATTTGGACTCCCCAATATAGAGAAGACCACATCAGGAGCAACAGATCCAGTAGATTAGGTTAGATGAAGTGCAGATGAATCTCTGCCGGATTTGGAAGGATTGTTTGGAGTCTTGGACCAAAGTGAAAGAGGAGGTGTAGGGGCAAGTGTAGCACCTCCTGCAGTTACAGGGAAAGGCACTGGGTGTCGTGGAGAAGTTGGTGGGGAGTGTGGAGCTGATGAGGGAATCGCAGAGTGAATGGTCCCTGCAGAAAGTGGACAGGGCTGGAGAAGGAAATATCATTTTGGTGGTAGGCCCTGACTGTAGGTTACAGAAATGTTGGAGGATGATACGTTGTATTCGGAGGTTGGTGGGGTGGTATGTGAGGACTAAGGGGTCTCTATCCTTTTTGTTGTTTGGGGGAGAGGGTTTGAGGGCAGATGCTTGGGAAATGGGGGAGATGCAGTTGAGAGCATCTGTAATAACTGAGCAGGGGGAAACTACAGTCCCTGAAGTAGGAGGATACCTGAGAAGTCCAAGAGTAGAATGCCTCATGCTGGGAGCAGATGCGGCAGAGGCGGAGGAATTGTGAGAATGGGATAGTATTTTTGCAGGAGGTTGGGCCCTTGTGGGTGCCTATAGCCACCTGTTTGGTTTGTAGGAAGTAACAAGGTGTAGTACTGGATGAACAGCAGACCAAGCAGCATCAGGGGAGCAGGAAAGCTGACGTTTCGGGTCTGGACCCTTCTTCAGAAATCTGATGAGGTGATGAGGTCGTTGATGGTCATCTCCCTCCACTCACCTCCTCAGCAATTCAGGTCAGGCAAATAATTCATTAGATGTGCATGATTCTCTGCACCCAGTTTATTTTCGTGTATTTGGTCGTCTTGTTCCTCTTGTTGCATTTCTTTATTCTTTCGGGTTGTGCCCGCCCCCATTTGTCGCTGACATCATTTTCCGGAGCGCGCCCCGGGAGCGCGGATGCTCAGCTCTGTCCCAGTCTCTGGGATATTGAACCTTCGGTTCTGTCAGGTTGTTTGTGGAAAGCGGTCACAGTCTGTGCTTCGTCCCCTGGAGATACACAGGTAAGAAATATCCTGACGGACGATAATGCGCAAACCTCAAAAGCTGCCCTTTTTAACGTTATTCTGGGCGAGGCCGGTCTGTTCACCTTATCGTACCTGCTGCCCATTTGTAAATGACTGTTTTAGAATTTTCATATGTTTGTGTTTACTCGAGCAGAAACAATAGCAGGTGGTTGTCAGAATGAAAGTCTGTGTGTATCTCTGTCTATCTCGAGTCGATTGATAGGAACCCAATTTGTGTATAAATCGTCTTCTGTCAAACTGAAAAAAAAGTCCAAGTATGTTGTGTATTGGAGGATATTGGGAGCAATTAACATGTATTATGTCGCGCAGTGTGAATACAATATCCACCTACTGCTTTTCTGAATTTGATTGCCGCTAGCGTGTAAAATATGTAAAGTGCCAGACATTTAATATCCATTATTCTAGGTGCAGAAGTTCATACACTGTTTGAAACCTGATGTTCTGTTTTGTCTTTATTGGACACTGAGGGTACTAAACAGTCTGTATGTTAGTTAGACTCCAGCGCTGCTTTGAACATTTGACCAAACCCCAAAGGAAGGAATGAAGGTGATGCAAATGTCTAGTGAGACTTGGAGACAATGCTTTGTGAGTCTGACAGCAAAGACATTCCTGACAGTCACTACCTGCAGTTTATAGATAAGGTGTTTAGCGAAAGCAGTCGAATTATTAAGTGATCCCGGAGAACTGGAATTGTGGGGGATACTTACTGAAGATGCTGCAAATGTATCTTGACTGGTGTTTGATGTTAGAGCAGATGGGAGATGAGAGAGTGTCTCCATGGGGAGCTGCACATAATTAACATTAGCTCTGGGGCCAGGGAGATATCTATTCAAGAATAAAGACATTGAAGCTGAATAATCCCCACAGAATATAAGTTCCAAACTATTTAGTTTACTGGCTTTCTGAATTGGCACACACTTATTTAGCCATGAAAGCAATAGTAAAATGTATTATTATCGTGTGGTGTGTATTTGCAAGGCCCTGTCCAATGGTTCGTCAATCATCTTAACATATGTCTTTTTCTTTTCCTTTGTCTAAGTTCCTCCCTTTTCCGCCGCATCTCTGAAGGGATCTTTCTTGCTGGGGTACAGTTCCGTGGACTGAACAAATTATAAATTATTTCCCCAGACATTAAGTGTAGGCACCATATTCACTATGCTTGAACTTCCTCTCAACAACCTGGGGTCACGAACTACCATGAACCACTTGGTGATAAACAATAATGATTCATTCATTGCTGTACTGCAATAACCTCCTGACTCCTCAAAACTTTTCTACCATCTACAGGGCATGAATCTGGAGCGTGCTGAAATGCTCAAAGGATGTAACATTATCCAGGACAAAGCAATTAATTTGATTGACACCATCCACCACCTTAAGCATTCACTTCCTCCACCACCAGAACAATGTAAATGCAGTGCATACTAGATGCACAAAGCACCTCTACAGCATACCTTTGGCACATTTTTCCCAAACCTCCAACTTCTCGAAGGACAAGGGCAACAAGTACATGGGAGCACCATTACATGCAGGTTTCCTTCCCAGTCAAACACGATTTTGACTTAGAAATGTATCATTATTCCTTTGTCACTAAGACAAATTCCTGGAACTTCCTACCTAACAACTATGTGAATGTACCTACACCACTCAGACGGCAATGGGTCAAGAAGTGCCTCCCCACCATTTGGTCATTGAATATACTTGAGGCTGAATAAGAAAGATTTTTAATCTAGAAGGAAGTCAATGGTCATGAGGGACAGACAGAAAAGTAGAATCAAGGTTACAAATTAAAATCAAATCTTTTGAACAGAACAGTAGGTTCAAAGGCCAAAAGGGTTATTCCTACTCCATTTTCTGATGTTCTTGTGTACAAGGACAATTCGGGATGGAATTAAGTGCTCTCCTTGCTAGCAATGCCTACATTCCAAGATCAAATAAAAAAAAAAGCCCATTCACTGCCACAATAAATATTAAAGAACTGGCATTTATATACAATCTTAGGCCATCCCAAAGTGCTTTGCAGTCAGTGAAGTACTTTCAACTGTAATGGCTATTGTAATGCATAAAATTGATGAATGTTCAAGTGGGGAGTTGGTGGCATAGTTGTAATGGCACTGGACTTGTAATCCAGAACTCTAAGCTAATGTTCCGGGGTCATGGGATTGAAACCCACCATATCAGATGATGAAACTTGAATTGAATAAACCCATCTGGTTCACTAATGTCTTTTAGGGAAGAAAATCTGTCATCCATACCTGGTCTGACCTACATGAGACTTCAGATCCACAGCAATGTGGGTTGACTCTTAATGGGAAATAAATGATGGCCTAGCCAAAACAGAACGGAAATCAGGATGATGTGCTTTAGACACATGAAGACTTCAAAGTTAATACATTACGCCCCATGTAAGTTTTTGATACAAAGAAAAAGTACTGAGAAAGGGGTTTTCCATTTTGCTACAACCGTCAACCACACACACCTTCTGTGTCATTGCAGGGATTTAAAATCTAAACTCTACATTTCCTCCAAGTGGGGGATCAGATGTAACACAGAAGGGAGAAAAGTGGCTAAAAACATTGAGAGGGGAAAAAGTTATTCCAGAATCATTTATGAGGAGGCTGAAATATGGAAAATGTTGTTTGGTGTGGAGGCAGGCACAAGACCCACACTGAATTATGAGTATGGTTTAAAAAAAGAAAAATAACTTTTAACAATTTGTGTCTTAATGGCATTAAAATGTTAATTAGTTTTTGAGATTTTCATTTAAATTTCAAAATCAGTAAACTTAAACTTGGTTTTTAATTCCACATCTTGTTCCTTTACAATCCTGCCTTCAGTCTTCACAAGAGTTGGCACAGAATTAATGAGCACAAGGGCCTCCTGTGCTTTAATATTCAATAAGTCTCACTCAAGTTTCTATCTCAGCCCTGGACAAATTAGTCTTGGACGTTCCTTTACATCAACTTTGAATTTTTTTGCACTGAGGAAGTTCTAAATGGAATGGAAAAGTGTGCCTGATGTTAACTGTTACCTTTCGGTGAGCACAGCTGACTGAGCAGATTAGAATGCCCTGTAAATATCACAGAGTATGACATGATATGATAATGCAAAGGTTAAGGATTTGTAAGTCATTTTGACAATTTCTTTCTATAGTCCCATTAGTTTCCTGAAAATGCCACATGTTCTTGAGGAATGGAATTCATCAGGGGCCATCGCACAATAATCAAATTTAGTTTCCACTGCTCACCCTTAATGTTGTCCAGGGACCCTCAGACACATTGAAATGCTTCTGCAATCATTTTGACTGATATAGGCTGAACTTAAACAGTTTAATAATTGAATCCCAAACCTTGTCTTGCAGCTGGGTAGTTATGTATCACCTTTACCATTTGAACTAATGGGTGGGTTTTGATTGATCTTGGCATACATTATAGGAAGTCCAATGGTGGTTAATTTGCTCCTAACAGTTGCACAAAAATAGCTTTATTGCTGCATCTGAACTCAAACTCTCTGTCTCACCTCAAATGTTCCTTCTTCAGATTAATCGTATGAAGGAAATGGCTTACTGGTACTTCATGTCTCCTTTCCTCTTCTTCTTGGTTTTTGATGGTCTAAACCATGTCTGTGCTCTGGAAGCTGGAACCAGAGGAAAGAAAAGCGCATTGCAGCCACAAGACAGCAGCAATAATCTGAAGAGACATGAGTCCTGGCCAGATTCTCCCAGATCAGGCCGCAAACATGGCATACAGAGGAAAGACAAGGCCAACACCATGGTAACCAAAGTACTGGAGACAGACAGACCAGATGAGGACAGTGTGGGATTGGAGAGTCTGACTCCAGTGCGAGTGGAGACAGACAGTCTGGAAAGAACAGCAGTAATGCCACAGGAGCGAGTTACGGGCCAGAAAGGTCAATTTTATCCTCGAGAGCCAGAATATCATTCAGCAGGAGAGCCTACAAATAAAGGGAAAAAGCATAATAAAGACCATAAGAAACCAAATCGGAGGGAGCGAGCCCGACACAGTAAGGGTAAGAGGAGCTTTGGAAACCTTGATGAAAAGCATTTAAAATATTTTTTCACGTATAGAAAAGATAGCCTAGCATTGGAACTAAGCAGGCTTTTTTTTCTGAATCTTGCTCACTCACATGTTGGGCCTGATGCTTTCCTTCAGATCACGTGTTTAAGTATATTGTTTTGATTTCCAATTTGGATTATCATTGTATGAGACAAATACAATTTTGCTATTTCACAGATTGAACCGTCTGCATTTTGCGCTTCTACAGTCCATTCAGCAGGTGTTTTCTCTACAACTTTCCCATCCCTGCTCAGAAAATATTTAAATTCTGTCCACAATTCTTCCATCTCTTCCCAGGGTTGTTCATGAAAGTATATGTGGATTTTAAAATAAAAGTAATGTTCAAGATGTTGATGGACTGAAACACTGTAGTCACATGCAGGATGTAAGTTGTTAACTACAAACCTGATGGTTTGTCAGATGGACAATGGAAAACCTGTCATCACCAACAGCAGAGAAATCTGATAAAAGGGAGAAAACAGTTGAAGGGGAAAAAAAACACAAATTAAAATTTAAGAATTCTCTGTGATTTGACCTGAGCATCACTTCTTTTTCAATGTATTTAATAATAAGTTTGTTTTACAAGGGAGGTTGCATTGTCCTGACAATTATACTTGAGATAAAATGCATTTGGGTGCTGAGATGGGTTGATCCATATGGTGTGAATGCAAAACCCAAAGAACAGTCTCTGACTTTTGATTCTAAAATGGCACATTTGACAGTAAGGGACTTGAAGAAAGGTAAGCTGAGTTAATATAGGAAGTTTTAATTTTTTATGACCTGCGTTTGACCCTGTTATATGAAGCAATATGCTATTTTCAGCACAATCACTTGGGGCCCTCAATGCTGGAAGCTCCTAGTCACAGAACATCCAGCTGTTTGAAAAGCTTTGTTCAGTCAATGTGTAAACTGTTTGGAAGAGGCTCTTTGACCATAATTTGCAGATAATTCTTCACAAAACATGTTGCCTCCAATGTTTCCAGAAATTAATAGCATAAAAATTGCAGAAGCAATAAGTAGCCCTGTAATGTCTTTTGGAAGTTTGAGGACACCAATAGATTGATCAAATCTGCAGTTTTCATATAAAGTCAAAGCTCTCTCAATGCATAACAGGGCAATAGTGAAGGGGAGACAGCCTCCTCTTTTGATACTCATCATACCTGGAGCTATATGTTTTTCATGTCCAATGTGGTTTACATGGGTTGGTCTGTTAGATCTTTAAAGATAACCTCAAATAGTTAATATATTCTCTACTAAAATCACTGACTTTATTTAAGGAGACGTTGAATAGCAAAGGATGTAAAGGTGGATGTTCTCACTTTGTTTCAGGACACTCGGTGTGCGAACAATATGTGTAGAGCATCTGGATAGCTAATAATTGACTGGACTGGTGGTGAGGGAATGGGGATTCTGGCAAAGCAGTCACAATCAAGGGCTGCTGTTCTCCTTAACGAGGTTAAACTTTTGTTTTCTTGTGAATCACATAAATTATTAAAACTACAGATGTCAATTTATAGGAAACGGTGCAAAGAAAGGCAAATTTTGATGTTTGCCTGAAGGTGAGGATCACTTATTTAGTCTCAAGGTTGACATCGTGTTCCTTGAATGAATAGTGATGATCATGATGTTTGACTGGAGTGTGGGATCAAATTTTTGGTGGTGGAGGAGGGAGCCGTACTGTTTAGGTAAAGGTGGAGGGTCATGTTTGTTGCATGAAAGTAGCTCAGAGTACCAGTCTTCCCTATGGTACAGAAGAGGTTTACTGGAATCAGATACTGTGTCAAGATAAAGTTATGCTTTTAAATTATCACTATTGGAGACTAGCAAGCCTGGTGCTAATCAAAACTTGAATTTGCAAACAAAGTGTGAAGACAAACATTTCATCTTTATTTTCTATAAGTTAGATACAGTTTATAATTCCTAGGGCTAAAGGAAGCAAAGGGTATTGGGAGGAAGTGGGAACAGAGTATTGAGTTGGATGATCATATTGAATAGCAGAGCTGGATCAAAGGACCCAATAGGCTACTCTGTTCCTATTTTCAATGTTTCTATAGCCTTTATTGAAGAGAAGCTAAAGGTTGCAATTTTCAAGTGTGAATATTGAACCAACATTGCTCGAGGCATTACTGGTATTAACTCTCTCCAGTAAGTGTGGTAACCATGGGGTGCTGCTAAGATTTTATCTATGATTTATATCTGTATGTCTTGCACTTGTTTCCACAAGACTTTAAGTAATGCATTATCAGGATACTAGCAGCTGCCCCCTCAGATGGATGTAAAATATGCCATTGCACTAATTTGAAGAAGAGCAGGGATGTTCTCTTTGGTGTCCTGGTCAATACTATTGTTCAGTCAATATATCACTAAAAACAGTTCTTCTTGATATTATCTCATTGCTCTCTGTAAGACCTAACTGTGCAAAAATTGGGCATTCATTTGCTGCTTTGGAACAGATCACACTTCTAATGTTCATCGTTGACTGTACAGCAATATGGGATGCTACTGAGGTCATTAAATGTTCTTTAAAAATGCAGGTCTTTCTTTTAAAATATCGGTGTCATTGCCCCTGGGATTGATATCCATCATTAATTTTTCTCTCACAAAATCAAGTAATGCTGTTAGAATTCCCAAAGAAATTTCAATACTCAGCATTTTGACACATGTTTATCTGGAAACGGGGATGAAAAAATGACAAAAGTAAAATATTTTTTGCAAAAATGTTCTGAAGGGAGAAAGATACAGATTGGAAAAAATGCACAGAATTTCACAAGCAAATTTAGCAATAGCCATTTATGTAGATTCAAGACAGAACAGTGGAGGATCATGCATTTACAAAGTTTAGAACCAAGGTGAAGCTCACTGGAGTAGCATGGCAATTGGCTAAGGACCTTGGTATAATGGTGCTATTTAAAAGAGAACAAATATTGTCCAGTGAGGCAGCC